TCACATGAAGATGTCGTGCCAATCTTTCCGTAATGAGTGTGATTTCGGAACCAGTGTCTATGAGCAGCCGGGCTTATTGTGTTGTTGATTGTATGATCACCTTGGCTACATCAGTGGCTAATAATGTGATTGGTTGTTGGCGCCCGATTGCACTGGTTTGTGGTTTGTCTAGTAATGTGGTGTGTAGTGATTGAACGTTGGTTGATGTGGTGTCTGGTACTTCATGTAGTAATGAGTGGTGTGCCTCGTGGCATATGTAACATCGTTTTTTGCTTGTGCATGGCCTTGGCATCTTTTTTTGGATTACTTTTGGAATTATATTAGTATATTCGAGTTTTTCTGTTATAGCGTTCTTTGAATTCGTTAGTCCATTTTTACAAAACAAATGCTTGCGCGCTCATACCTCTCCCACTTTTTATTTTGCTTAGAAACTACTGCAATCCGTAACATATATATATATATATATATTATAAAAACGAAAATAATGCACCAACATTGATGAAGAATACCGACAAGCATAGCATTCAACTATTTTAGTAATTGCAATTGAAAAGTTTTGAAAAATTATACAAACTCTATATTACGTTTTCTCGAAGGTATTTCATAATGCTAAAAACAAAGTTGATGAATGTCGCAACAATATTTTTATTTTCCAACTTCCATGGTTCTACTATATTTCAAAATGATTCATTTATTTTAAAGAGGTAACTAAGAGAATATCATTTGATTGAATTAATAGTATCTGTGCTATCTCTTTTTTGGTTTTTGCCAATTTTGAAATCCATCCTTTATTTATTAAAAAAATCCCGTATCGCTTTTTACCTGTAAAGATTTATAAATAAAATTTTAAATACAAAAGTAATTTAAAAGTTCAATAAAAAGGTCTTCCTTGCTATATCATTAAAAAGATATTTTTCCGATATAACGAGACCATTTTTTCTTTCATTCCATAATTTAGAATTTCCATTATTTCAGTATGAGCTCTATGAGGTATGAGGTTCACTATATAACCTTCGAGTTATACTATGTCGGGAATGTGATGCATCGATTATTGAAATAAAAGAAAAAGCGTCTTGGAAGACGGGGTAGATTAACTCCATTATGTTAGTTTCCTATTTGTACTTCTCTTTTTGTGTGCGTTTCTGAAACGTGTGATTAATGATCGCAGATTTTATGATATCTGACGACCTTATAGATTGTTGGGTTTTACAATAAGGTTTTTACAATTATTTTCTTGGTAAATTGTTATTAACCTATATTCATAATTGACTACGGTTCTGCTTTAGTATTACGGTGGTAAAGATGGAAACTTGTAAATATTTTAAACATAATAAAAGTAAGTATATAAATGTATCTATAAAGCGAAGAACATACGCTGACTTGAGTATGTCAATAAAAATGTCACTGTCGATTTTCTCAAAAAAATAATAAAATAAAACAAAGGAAAAAGACCTTTAAAATTACTAATTAAACATAGCACGATTCCATTGTTACCAAATAGATTAAATAACAATTATAAATCTAGTAAATGAACGCTAAGGCTGAAAAATGAGGTATTTAAAATTATACCTTCATAAGGAGTTTAATAAATTATAAAATAATTTAAATGAAATAAAAAAAAATTAAATATAATTTTTAACATTAATTATAATCGGTTATATTCTGATTATAATGACAATTATATCTTAATAAATATGCATGTATCTATATTCACATTCTATAGTTCCCAAAGTTATTGATCATAGTATAATTGTTAATCCGTTTTCTAAATAAATCCTTTTTTAATCCGTAAAAATAATAAATGATAATGGATAAAACTACGTTTTTTTTTTATAAAAATAGTGAGTTAATTAAGAAATCACTTGCTTAAGAAAGCCTTTGCTGGATATAAAAATTTTAATACAATTTTACACTATATAAATTCAAAACTTTATTAATTAAAAAAAAAACTATCTTAATCACATTAAGTACACAATAAAAGCTATTAATTTGCATATTAATAGAAACAAAGCAAGAAAAATAAAGTGTTAAATGATTTTTTAAAAATTATATAGAACAACTAGTAAACAGATTAAAGAAAGCCAATTGCTATAAATATTGTGTAATTAACAAATAGAGTCGATATGTTATTTTTAACGTCAATATTTTTTAATATTTAGTTCTACTGTTTTTCTTTAGGAATTAAGTAATCATATATATTGAAATATCCAGTAATTAATAAGGATAATACGAGTAAAAATGTCT